GAGAGAGAGAGAGGGAAAGAGAGGAAGAGAGAAACGTACATCGATCACAACACGTTCGAGTTTAGGGCATTCTTTAAGGAATTCTGCGATATCAAAAAGAGTGCAAAACGTTAGAGCTTTGAATGAAATATGAAATTTTATTAAGTTCTCAAACTTGAAAGGCCGCTTTTCTAGCTTTCCTCCTCCTACGTATTTATTCGTGAGAGCCTACACAAAATATGTGAAAACACCATCAAAACTCACTCTAAACCAAGAACAAATGATTATGAAGAAAATAAAATGGAGAGAATCATATGTGGAGAAAAACAGCTCACAATTTTATTCTCAATATGATGAACATTCTCTATCAATCATCCAAATAGATATGCAAAGTATACTCTAAAGTTCAACCACTTTAAGAATGATGCATGTGCACACAAAAAAAAATCTAAATTTGAAGGAATAGATTTAGGGTAATTTTTTGATCACATACAAATTGGACTATTGTTAGTTCATATGTACATTGAAGTAAATCTTATTTAGAAAATGTATTAAATTATTATACCATGTAAGTCTACAAATCTTATCTAAAATCATTTAATAAGTAGATAAAGTAAGTCAAATGTGTAAAAACAAAGATAAACATCCTACTTTTAAAAGCTGCATTAGCGCTCGCAAAAAAATAGAGACTCTCATAATGAAACCATATGAAACATATACACGCTAAGGAACTCATTCTCCATTAATCATGATAACCTAAATAATTCATGTCACTTATACTATATCTAGCGAACAATAATAACGTTTTCTGAAGTAAAAATAAAACTAAAAAGTAACATTTATACATGCAAAGAATAAATTTGAAAAAAAAAATATGTGTATTAGATAAAAAAATAATATACCTCAAGAAAGATGGTCGTTGTTGTGAGGACAAAAACTTTTGTAAAAAAATTCATGCTATTAACCACCAAGTTAGACGGATCGTAATAACTTTGACTAAAATTCCGATTATAATGGAGATTTGCCTCTTTGAGTGTGTATGTACTCACAAAGTTAAATTTAATGGCATATCCATCATACTGGTAATTTTCTAGAGAGGGTGCGTTCAAACTGATGACCCAAAGATCTCGTATATAAGACAAAACCAGCGATTTGAATTTCTTGTGATCCGGAGCATGGATGCTCAACATGCCATCCATGCATAAGCAATTGATTAATTCCACTGATTCGAGGTGGATGCAGTTGGTGAAAACTACGTCTATTGTCTCTTTCATCACCTCGATACGCATAAGTGAGAGTGTCCTCAAAAGCTTTAAACCTTTTGGAGAATTATCTACCATGTCAAACTTACATGATCGCAGCTTTAAATGTTGAAGAGTCTCCACGACCGAGAAATTGATCGGGATCTCCATAACTTTCTTGGATTTGGAGAAATCTAAGACAATCTCTTGGATGTTTTTCCCAAGGCATGTATTGATCCATGAGATTATTTTATCTTCTATCCCAAGATGATTGATAACCAAAATGAATCTGTGAATATCTGATCCTTTATATTGATTAATGACTTCTTCGATGATGCTAACAGCCTCTAACTGACTTCTTCTTCTAGAATAGATGCCACTGAAATCGAGGATACGAGATTGTATATTTGTGCTCACAAATCTTTTGGATAGGATACGGTTTCGTAAAAGAGATTTGACTGGAAGAAACATGGAGATGATGTGCTCCACGATATCATCAGGAATTGTTTGAGTAAGTTTCATCATCTTATTTGAGGATTCTCCCATTTTTCTTCTCTTGGGAAAAAATGCCATGGATTTTTTACTAGTATTAAGATATGATTACACACACACATATATGTATTAATTAAATATATATATATATTATAATATGGAAACATATGGTTTGCTTTCCTTTTAGTTAAATTTAGTTTTTTCTTTTTAGAAATATATAATTTACTTTTACTATAAATTTAACTTTAATAACAAAAATTCTGGCTTATCTTTAGAATTTTTTTTCACATTACCTTTACTTATATTAATTAATTAGATATATTATAAATCTTTTAGAGCCATTTCTTAACAAGAAATTTTTTTTTCTAATTAATTGTTTGTATGTTAGCTGTATAAAAAGTTTTCCATATACATTATCATATAGAGTTGAACATATTTATGACTAACTTAATTTAAATAAATGTCAAAAATAAAAATAAGATTTTGGAGAAAAAAGTTAACAATATGTTTAGTTATGTTAATTAAATATATAAAAAATCTTATAGAGTCATTTATTACCAATAAAATTAAATTTTTATTTAATGTGTATGTATGTTAGCTGTATAAAATATTTTCCATATACAATTATTCTTATAGAGTTAAACATATTTAATTATTTATTACAAACTTGATTTTAATAGGTTAAAATGATTTTGAAGAACAAAGTTAACAATATGTAGTTATGTTAATTAACTATATACGAAAATCTTTTAGAGTCATTTATCACCTAAAATTAATATTTTTCTTTAGTATTAGCTGCATAATTATTTTTTACATATACATTATCATATAGAGTTTAACATATTTAATTATTTATTACTAACTTGATTCAATAGGTGGCCAAAGAAATTATGTTTTTGACATATAATAATTTGTAACTTATAATTTCAATTGTGTTTAGGTTCATCTCACATATTTCATAATGTTAAAGCCAATTTGGAATGTGTTGAGAATTGAGAGATTCATGATCTTTCCTGTTTTATTTAATTAAGTTTAGGAGGAATTTCAAAAATACCCCTTTTCAGATACCACTTTTGAAAAATACTAATTTTTTCAAATTTCATCAAAAACTCACTAAAAATTTGAATTTATCCAAAAATGTGTATAAACTTATACAGATATAAACAAGTTACATTTATATGTTTGTAAAATTATATACATATTTTATGAATACTGTATAAATAATTTTTCAAACCTTTTAAAAAACATTGTAAAAAATTTAAAAACTTTGTAAACCATGTTTAAATCCTTTTAAAACCTTATAAATATTTTGATCGGTCTTGTAACGCCCCGACCGCCATCTCTCCAATGGGCCGCATATTCAAAACCAGCCCATAAGTCCACCTAGTCCTGGGCGAAAAAGCCGAACCGAATGCACCGAACCGAAACCGAACCGAAAAAGTCTTCTTCTTCTTCTTCTTCTTCTTTCTTCTTTTTCTTCTTTCTTCTTCGTCTTGGTCGCCTGTTCCATTAGGAGAGCGTGATGCTTTTAGTGGAGATGATTGTGAAGTGGACGACGACGAAGATTGTGATGGTATTGGGTACGAAGCTGCTGTAGAGGAGGAAGATGGTAACCAAGAAGATGGAAACCATGAAGTTTTTGAATAGGAAGATGGAAATCGTTTTGGTGTCGATGAACAGTTTTGTGAAGACTTCGAAGTAGTGTTTGGTGAGGATGCGAGAGATGAAAATGACGAGACTGATAACGACAATGGAGATGATATCTTCGATGACGAGAAGATTCCAGAACATTTCTCAGAAAGTGAAGACGAAGATGGTGGTGGAGAAGGCGATGAGCATGTAAAAGCTGAAGATCCTGAAGTGTTACTCGAGTTGGGGAAAACATTTAGTTCGCCAGATGAGTTAAAGTTAGCTGTGTTGAGGTACTCTCTGAAGACTAGATACGACCTTAAGTTGTATCAATCACAATCTTTGAAGATTGGTGCAAAATGTGCTAACACTGATCCAAAGGTAAAGTGTTTGTGGAGATGATACTGCTCTTACAATAAGAAGAAACACAAGATGCAAATCAAAGTATACGAGAGTAAGCATGTGTGTGTGAGATCAAGTTACAGTCACATGTTAAAGCGAGGGACAATAGCTTCACAGGTTGTTTGCAGACAGGTTGAGAAAGAATCCAAAGATCACCCACAAGGAGATGGCTGCAGAGATTAATACAATATGGAAGTTAGTGAAGAACAATGTTCTAAGGCAAAGACAAGACTGAGGCAAAGACAAGACTGAGGCAAAGACAAGACTGAGGCAAAGACAGAAATCGAGAGAAATTGATTGAGGATTATAGGTTCAATTTCTATTTGGGGATTTTAGGTTTTGAGTTTCGATTTACCGAGGATTAACGAAGAAGAAAAAGAAAAAGAAGAAGAAGAGTGAATCGATTTTGGGGAAAAGGTTTAATTGTTTTAGTGTTTGGGTTATGTTAAAAAAGGTTTCATTTTTTATTTGACGGATTTTGTTAACGACATTTAACCCCGTTTAATTGCTCCGTTTGGCCATTTAACGATGTGCCTAAATTGGCAAAGTCAAGTCAACCAAAGTTTCATATTAAAGAGAGACTCAACAGAAAGTTTGTGATTTAAGTCAACAGTTGGAGAGTTCGAGATTTAAATCAACGAAATCGTACTCTTCAGGATTTTACTGTCATTTTCCCATTAATTTATGCTCCTTTCTTTTTCTTTTCCGAGGATGCTTATATTTGAACCAATAAGTCTATCACACTTCATGTGATCTTTAGACTTTCTAACAGTTGATCTTATCCTTTTAGGATATTAACTTTAATTGGAGCAAAACTTGTATATGTGACTTTGTCACTCAATGTCAGTAAATGCTTCTTACATATAATTTGCAAAACTCTGCAAATGAATTATCTTATCTTTAAACTTTTAGTGCACATTTCTTAGCACAAAGATCAAGATAATTTTCTTTCAGTATATATCTTTTCTAGCTTTTTCCTTTCTCCCCCTAATGTTGGAAAGACTGACTCACTGAAAAACAACAGTCTCTTCATCTCGATCCTCAAATAAACACTTTGTTAATGGCTCGAGGTATTCAATCTTCTTAGAGATTCATATCCAACATATTTCCAACATTCTTGCAAATCTCATGCTTATATTACCATGGTGGAGCAACTTAACATGTTTAGCACATTCAATGGGATGTATCTAGTTTCTGACCCAAAACCAATCGTAATAGGGAGTACTCATAATTATTCGTTGGCTTGATGCGGATTACTTGACATATAGAGTCATGTATCTCTTAAAGACATGGTTTCACAACCCTTATCAATTAACCAAATACTCTCGCAACCTCCAGATTGCAGGTTAATAACAAGTAAATATAGTAGGTGATCAGCCCACAATATATTCTTGCATACGTACCAAAACATTGATATTATTCAAATTCATGGGGTCGGTGAAAGCCATATAAACGGCTTGCTTTGTAAAGCAGCACACATAAAAAAATCATTAGGAACTATCTCATTTTCCTCTAATGATTGTTTTCAATGATTTCTTATCATTCTTTGGCATCACTATTGATCCGGAATGGCTTAATTGGTCATGTCAATCAATGAGATTTTCAGTAAACTTTTAGTTTAATATAATCTTTTGTGTAGTACAATGTCAAATACTTTTATTACCTTGGGCTATACTTATGATTTAAAAGTATTCAACATTTTATTTGCTTTTTGTCTCAACATGACTATTCTTTAAATCCCCAAGATTTTCTCTATAATATGATTCTTTAAGCTCATTTTGGGTGTGAACATAATCTTCTGGATGTTCCACCATTCCACCATCTCTTGGATGTGGATGTGAGATTCTTTTAATTCTCCCCCTCGAGATGTTGACACTTAAAGTCTATCCATCTCGGTTTAGATCTCACTTTAGAATCATATTATCAATTTGAGACTTGGGAGACTATAACACATCAATGATTTCACATTATTTTCCCATAGACAATAGTATATATACTCTAAAAGAGTCTTTAATCATCTTTTTACTCCTTTGGTAGTATAGTAAAATTGTACTCACACTAATTTCTTTCATCGTCATATATATGAGATATATGAGATAAGTATCTCTTATACTTATTTTTCACTTCTTGTGTAAATGTGATTTCATAAAAGAAACTAGTCGGCGTTGACCGCAAATTTATATATATCATATCCACATTGATGACCACTTTTATCCACTTTTATAACAACTTTCTTGACTAGTGGTATTTTTCTTTTAAACATAAGGTCATATTCTCAAGTAGAGTATTCAGTACTATTTTTCTCTATTATATCAACTTTGTAATAATTTGGATTTAAGTTGATTAGTACTTTCTTTAGATTGTTCCAAAGAACTAAAGGATTTTTACGGTCAAGTACTTGGTTTTAAAACCTTCATATAGGAGATTATTAGAAAATATAATCAAACAACATGTTTTATTAAAATAAGTCAATCAATATGTGGTTTCATCACTATATACTAGCTTTGAATTTTATCCATTTCATATGACCAAATTAGATGCCAACATCTAAGTTCAAAATCTCCAATTCATGTCTATGTAAAACCCACTATAAAAATTATTGTGTAAAATTTAGGGGAAAATAGTTCAAGATTTCTATCATAAGACATGATCACGCAATCATATTATGATTATTAGTTTGCTACTCGATAAAGTAGGAAAATAGTACTTATCTCGATGGAGTGATTAGAAACCTCGTAGACATCAAAATAGGTTCGATTTGGTTTCGCCAGTTTAGTTTGGTTCTTTTACTCTCAAGATTTTGGCTAATGATTATTTGCCCACTTCTTTATCTTAAATCCTTGACTTAAAAAAAATAAGAAAAATTTAACCAATTATAACAAAACAGTCAAATTGTATTTGGCTTCTATTGTTATTACCTAAAGCAAGTTTCAATAGCAACTCAAACCGATGATTAAATAACATAATTCAAACCAAACCATGATTTTCCATCAGTTTTTAACTATGACATAAATAACCAATATTCTATACACAATTTTGAATTTATCTTA